CGAATGCTAAGATACTAGTGATCTTGTAGTTCTTCCTGCCCATTAAAATATCTCCCTGACCCAATGCCACTGTTTTTCTGAAACCAGCTTGCTGGATTGACACTTCTGAGGAAGTGGAGACACAGTTCCACAAAATATATAAAGAGGCCACCTAGCTTATAGAAAAGTATGTCCCTCTTCAGGGTCATTTCTTAACTTAATTGGTTCTTGCTGGTTTGACTTAGGAGGACTCTGGCTCAGGAGTGCTCTCCAAACCATGGGCATAGTTTTGTTGTAATAATTATTACTGTCTCCCTAACACAGTGTGTATTAAATTTTAAATGTGTGTGGGCAGCCATTGGCCAGCCAACAGATGGTCTTTCTCTGACTGGACTGACAAGAGAACAGAAGAACATAATCAGCTCCAAGAATAGGAGCCTGACATCATCTTGTGTGAATCCTCCACTGAGAACCAAAGAGACAATCGTACCTGAGAATCATGCTAATAAAACTGACACTTTTGATCAAGCCTCCTCAATGGTGAAGAGCAGCGATTTTCAACTGGTTTTCTGCAAGAGGCACACTGGTATGCAAAATTTTTTTTAAAATGCAATACCTGAGTGTTTAGTCTTTTCCCTTAGATTGTCAAATAGAAAAATAACAACAGCCAACACAACAATAGCTGTCCAGTGTGAATCAGAATTATACCTATTTTTGGGTCACACTAGCAAAATAAGAAATTTGGTGTGCCGCACAATTTTAGTAATTAGCTTACGTGCCATGAGATGAAAAAAGTTGAAAATTACTGGTCAAGAGGATGAGCAAAAGGGAGCACTGCTGAAATACATTTCCAGGCCCAAGATGGAGCTACTCCTTCCCAGGGTGCCACCTTAAGAAACTGAAACTTAGATAACTTTTGTGTTCTTGTAAATGCTCTGCTCCACCAGAAACACAGTATATTCAGTTAGCCAATCCCCAAAGGCCAAGCCAACTCTGGGTCTTCTTATCCCAAACAAGGTTGACTATGTGGCCTCAGCCCATCAGATATTTTCTATTTATTTCTTCCTTTTTCTTTATTCTTTATCTTATGAAAGCTCCTTGCCTTCTGCCCCATTCTGCAGTTCTCCAAAGAGACACTGTGCACTCATGGAGTGTTAAATAAAGTTTGTTTGTATTATTTAAATTGCCTTCTTTAATCATTTTTTATTAAGTATAAATGACCTTTACCACATTATTGAAATAGGCCCAGCTAAAATTCATACTTGGCTATAATTTGACCATAGTTTTACTATTTAATCTTGAAGTTAATAAAGCTATTCCTTAAAAACATTAACATTATAATTTGTACTTTTTAGTAATTCAGACAGGTTTTCCCCTTAATTAGTTCAAATTTGTAAGGTTTCACTAAACTTAAATATTATAGTATAGTTTTTTTAAATAATAACCTTCCTCTTTATTTATCTTAAATTCTTCCTTTTTCATTGATGAACCTTCTCCCTGATTCCATTCTTTTAACTGACGTAGGCAGTAATGGATTTTTTTCCTGGCTTTGTTTTTACTAAAATTAAGTTGAAATAAATAATTTTCAAGGGAGGCTAGTGTTTATTATTTTAACCTGTGAATAACAGCTACTAGGCTAGTAAAGGCTGTAATATCATCTGTTGGTGGTAATAAATTGTTAAAAAAAGAAGAAGAAAGGAGGAAGAGTGGGGAGCAAGGGGAGGAGGAAAGGGGAAAGGAAAGGGGGCAGGAGGAGGAGGAATGGAGAAGGGAGGAAGAAAGAAGACGGATGACAGCCTGGCCGGGTAGCTCAGTTGGTTGGAGTGTTGATCTGATTCACTAAGGTTGCGGGTTTGATCCCTGGTCAGGGCACAAGAATCAACCAATAAATATCTAAATAAGATACAAATTGATGTTTATGTCTCTCTCTCTCTCAAAATCAATTAAGGAATAAAAGAAGACTGTGTTGACAGAGATTTTGTGACCCACATAGCCTGAAATATTTACTACCTGGCCTTGTCCAGAAAATGTTTGTCAACTCCTGGTTTAAAGTATTTTATAAGAAAAGAAAGATTTTTTGAAAAAGTAGAGACAGCGAAGTCACAGAAGGACAGTTTGTTTTCTCACATTAAGTATATTCCTAAATTTTATATTTTTATATTATTTGTCTCTCTTTTTAAAAAAGATTTTATTTATTTATTTTTAGAGAGGGAAGGGAGGGAGAAAGAGAGAGAAACATCAATGTGCAGTTGCTGGGGGCCGTGGCCTGCAACCCAGGCATGTGCCCTTACTGAGAATTGAACCTGCGACACTTTGATTTGCAGCCCAAGCTCAATCCACTGAGCTACGCCAGCCAGGGCTATTTATTTGTCTCTTTAAATTAGTTTTTCATGAATTACTTTTCCCACTTGTACCAGGAGGAAATCTCATCAAATTGTTTGCTATTCTATGATATAGGAACTTATTTAAAGGACTAATAGGAGAGTCTTTTAAAATAAAATTCTGATTTCAGTCCATACTTGTTTAAAAACTGGGAAGCTCATTGAGAGTGCACTGTGACATTTTTAGGGAGCTGTATTTAGATTGGGGGTGTCAGAGGACTTGCTCATGAGCTGGCAGCCAGGGGCATAGGAAAGGTGCTACACAAGACTTATTCTTGGCTTCAGGTTCACATTTTCTACTTTCTATAGCCCATCTCTTTTAGAAGAATTTTGTCTCCTTAACTCACAAGAACTGTTAACTTTTGTCATGATTATTTTGGGGTTGCTATATAGGTATTTTCTCTTTTTAAAAAAATATTAACCATATCAGTAATGCCTATGTACATGAAAAGACTTTTTCTAATTTTTGTAATTAACTTCCACAGTTTCTCCCCCCATCACTGACTCAAGTTAAAGACATTACCATTTGTGAATCAATAATTGAGGAGACTCATACAAGGATTTCATAAAAGTATTCAGTGAACATCTGATGATATTTAGACCCAAATCATCTAATAACCTTAAATAAGTACTGTTTTAAAACAGTGTCAGTGATAATTAAAAATGGGCACAAAACAACAGCTACAAAACAAATAGATAAAAATTATTGGGTGGGCCAAAAAGCTCATTTGCTTTTTTACGTATGATGGCTCTAGTAGCACTTAGTTGTCTTTAACTTCACTTGAGACAATTTTGTTAGATTGTATTGTGACACCTGTCATAGCAGAGTGCTTTAAAAAATTTTATAAAAATTGGTGAATTTTTGTGTAGCTATTTTAATACTGAAGATAGAATACTCAACATTTTTTGGCATATTATGCTTTATTATTTCAAAAAAGGTAAAAATGCAACTGAAATGCAAAAAACAGGTTTGTGCAGTATATGGAGAAGGTGCTGTGACTAATTAAATAAATGCGTCAAAACTGGTTTGCGACGTTTCATGCTGGAGATTTCTTGCTGGATGGTGCTCCATGGTTGGGTAGACCAGTTGAAGTTGACAGCAATCAAATCAAGACATTAACTAAGAACAATCAATGTTATACCACACAGGAGATAACTGACATACTCAAAATATCCAAATCAATAAAGTTACTGGTGAAAATGAAAAATGTCTTTTATTTTATGGAAAAACCCACATGAATGAGAATGCTAAGATATATATATATATATATTTTTAACATGGCCACATATATGCTACCTCTAATATCCAAATTAAAAAAAATTTAATATAAGATATACAAAACGACATAATAGGATGAAATACTTATAATCTACCAGATTATGAAAGAGATTCATTAATATTACTGAGGCCCCTGTGTACCCTGAGTTTGATTACTTTTCCTTCCCCCAGAGATTAATCATTGTCCTGTACATTGGTGTATGGTATATCCATGTATTCCTTTATATTTTTTGTACAAATGTACATACCACTAAATAATTCTTATCATTATTTTACAACTTGTTAAATTGGCTTTATATCTGAATTCACATATTGACAGGTATGGTTTATTCACGTGGTAGAGATACAGCTCACCCGATAGTCTATCTGCTTCCCTATGTATCTTAGCCATTAGATCGAAATCACTGGAATGCGAGCAGAAGGAAAGTATGTTATGTGCAGGGCAAGGTGGTTAAAAGCACTGTCCCTTTCCTCCCCTTCCTCAGTGAACTCATAAGCCACATTTTCCAGATAAGGCCATAGGGCAGCTCTAGGAACATGGTGCATCTATCAGCCTGGGTCTCTGAGTAAGGGGTAGCAGGGTTTCTAGCTAATTCAAGTTGGACATACAAAATGAACAAAAAGTAATCCTGTTATGCTAAGACAAACACAAATGGGATATTTCTGGGATTATTCAAAAGCAGTGCTTTCAGTAGCAAGGTAGATTCAAAACCTTTTGAAAATACTTCTATCCTATGACTCTAGATTGACACTTACCTCTATTTGCACAAAGAAGTAAATCTCATATACTCTAATCTCTGCCTTCTTGGAAGACCTATTGCACTAACAATATTTTCAGATAAGTGCCTCATATTCATGTACTGTCTCCCGTATGTTAGTTTTGTTTCCCCAATTAGATTTTAAGCTCTTCAAGAATGTCTTTTCTTTTGTACCACCACACTGCACCTTATAGTCTACATACAGGCATGTAGTAATGACTGGTTTACTGTTCAATTGGGGAATACTAATATTAAATGTCCACTGTAAGGCACCTTGGCCCTTGGCTGCGCTTCACGTTATGTTGATCCTTATTATTTCCATTATATAAATGAGGATATTAAGGCAAGTAACTTTCCTTTGGTCACAGACCTACAAAGAAGATGAAGGGTGTGGGGAGGGCAGTTGAAACTGGACTGTTTGACTCTGTAAAGTCTTTGCTTTTCAGTTTTGTTTTTTTTTACTGAACTGAGTGAGACCATACCTACTATAGGGCAAGAAATTTAGAAGAACATAGAATGGATAATGAAGTTTATCTTTATAAACTTTACCAACATTAAAACATTTTTTTGAGACTTCCAGGATTTATGGCTGTTGGGTCTTACCTTGATCACCTCTGGAGTCTGCTGAATCAAAACCACTGAAGTAGTATCTTTGGCTTTATCACCAACAGGACTTCTGCAGACTGATAAATTGGCTTGGGAAGATGATGTCAAGGTTTCCTGTAGAATTTGCATCATTTCCTTTTCTTGTGATAGGCTCCCTCTGCCTGATTTGCATTCAACTAGTTCTTGAGCAAAGTCTTCAATGCTTTCTAAAATCCGTAGTAAGAGGGCTCGATCCTCTTCCTCAATTTTGTGTCCATTGGTTTCAATGATCTTTGTTAGACAGGAAGGTGAGACTTTTTCCGTGGGTGAAGAGGCTTTAGATTTAGGCTCAAGATCTACAGGGACCTGATCAGTCAACTGACTCTGACTATTTAGAGAGTCAGAACTTTTAACTTTGGTAAGTGGCTCTCTTAGAGAGGTCTCCATTTTCTGTGAAAAAGATTCCAAATCCATTAACAATTTATCTATCTCCTCCTTACTGTTAGAATTCATAAAATCTCTGTGGTGTTCCTCTTCCACTTTGGGAACTTTTGACTTAAGATCTTCCTTGGGTATATCAACAACTGTTTTCTCAAATACCTTACCCATTTCATTTTGCACTGAGGCAGGGCATTTTTTAAGATGAGTACCATGATCTGAAAATTCTGCTCTATCTTCATTCACCTTTAACAACTCCTGACTGAGTCCATTCTCTGTCCTCTGTCTTTTATCTAATGCTTTCTTTCCATCTGACTCCTCTTCAATATAAAGGGTTTCCATTAACTCACCAGAAGGAACATTTCCTAAAGTGTTCATGGTTAATGACCTTGATTGAAGCTGGACATCTTTTAGAGTTCTGGGATCATTTATCTCTAAGTTATATGTGGAATTTGTAGAGTTGTTTGGAATGGATTTCACAGTGTCTATTTTCCTAGAATGATGCTTGTCATCTTGCAATTCTATCGTTTGAAAATGTCCAGGGTCAGGGGCTGAGAGCTGGACAACATCTTCATATTTAGGGGGCTGCTCAGTGCCAAATATTGGGGAGAAGGGAGTCAGCTGTAAACTAGGCATATTAACATATTCTGTTAAATCTATAGCCTCATTGTTCCCAGACTGCATGAGTTCAAATGGTAGCTTTTTCAGATAGGATGCTAACCTGGTCATTACATTCATATAGACAGTTTCAGAGCTAGAAACTCCATCATTACCATTTCCTTCATTGATGCTACTCCCTGACTTTTTCTTTATACATTGTTTTATAATGTCTGTGCATTTTTTCAAATCCTCTGAGCATTTCAGCAATATGTCCAAGCACATCTTTATGTCTGTTCCAGAAGAAAAATTATCTATTTTATGTTTTTCCAAAATCTGAGTAACCAGGTCTTCTTCAGAGAAGTTGTGAAGAAACAATGAAGTCAGGTTCACATCGAGTGAATTTCTATGGGACAAAGACTTTTCCTCAACTGAGGAACTCCGGAGTAAACCGAAGGATGAGGAGTTTCCATCATTGTTGTAATGGCCACAGAGCAAGTCAAAATCAACTGACCTCCTATTAAATGAGTCAGACTTAACTTTCCTTCCCTTTCTGTAAGCTGCATGGTTAGAGTTTTTGAGTTTTTCAAGGGAAAATTCTTTTATTTTCCCACTAGCAAAACTGATTGCTTCTCCTGCAATATCCTTTAGGTTACAGGTATTCTGAAACGTAGATCCTTTCTTGACCCTGGGTATGCCTGTGAGGGCCTGATGGGGATAGTCACTTTCAGCTGATGAAAACCCATTTTCATGGGATAGAAACATGGAGTCCAGATCTGCATCTTTGAACTGAGACACAGGGATGTGTAAGAGATCTGCACAAACACTATGATGTATCACAATGCAGTCAACTCCATGTGCAAAGGTGTGGCAGGTTCCAGTGCAATAATGAATAGCTTGCTCAAAACGCCGGTCTATCACCACACTGTTGTAGTGGTTCACAGTACTAACCACAAGTCTGTAAGTTGCTGCCATAATATCAAATCCACTTAGTGGTGGGATTACTTGGAATTTTCTAGAACTTGTTTCAAGTAAATTTTCCTAAATGACAATCAGCTGAAAATATGTTTGACAATATTCAGTGGTTTCTTGTAATATATACAAACCTCTCCCACAAACAGAAATCTTCTAAATTTGAGGTTCGGTAGCTGTCAGGATCAGTAGCTGTTGCACATGTGTGCTTATAGTAGCAAGTCTAATAATTTAATAATTGTGCTTTTTAGTTTTATTTAGTAATATCATGATACTATAAAAGTTTTATAAAAAATATCTTCTTTTAGTTCTTCAGCAATTCTATGACAGAAGTTTATTGTCATAAACCTTAGTTGGTAGTATAGAAGATTTGTGTTAACTGAGTCCTCCAAAGGTTTAAATGATCCATTTTTTTTCTGAGAATGAGAAGAAACCTATAAAGAAAAAAATAATAAAAAGAAAATATGATTTCTTAATACTTAAAGAACCATTTATTCCTTCTTCTTTGCATCCCTTATGCAGTTAATTGCCAAGCTTTATTCTTTGCCATATCACTGACTGCTGATCTTTGATTCATGCCTTTGTTTTATCACACTCTACACTCCTTACTCCCTATAGAAATATTACCTCAACTCTACCTTGTTATAACTGCCTCCAGCTTGGTATTTCTTATCCCACTTTCCTTGCCACTTTACATGAAACTAACAAGTATTTCCACCAAAGTACTTGTTTGACAACACAAATACTTGTTCTTGATCTACAACTCCCTCTACACTTAGAAATTATTCTCCCATCATCCTCAATTTTCTTACTATCTAAAGAAAGACAGAAAACCCCCCCCCACAACCTTCATTACTACTCTTGATCCCAGACTCTCAAACCCTGCCATAGGCAGAGATCTTTCTCTCCCTCTCACCATCAAGTGCATAAAATTTACTTAATTGTTCTCTTAAAAAAAAAAAGGCTTCTAAATCATGGCTTTCTGAAAAGGTTCAATCAATGTATTCACTCAATTGATAAATACTGAGTGCCTACTACATGTCAGGCATTTGCTAAATGCTGGGGATATAGCAGTGAATAAAATAAAGTCCCTGGCCTTATAGAGCTGACAATCTAGTTGGGAAAAAAAAAACAATATGTAAGTTAACATATAACTTAGATGGTAATATGTGCTATGGAGAAAAAGGAAGCACGGCAAGGGTTTAGAAAGGAAGGGAGGATGCTATGTTACAAAGGGCAGTTCAGGAAAAATTTCACTTACTCATTAATAGAGACCTGAAAGAAGAGAGGGAATAAGCTGAGGAGGTATGTTTGGGTTACATCGTATCAGACACCTTAACCGTAAGTGCAAAGGTCCTGAGGTGGAAGCATCCTTGATTTACTAAAAGAATGAGAGGACGCTAAAGTGACTGGAGTAGAAAAAGCAAGGGGGGTGAGAAGCAGTGTGGGAGATAATACCACAAAGGAAAGGCAGGAATCTAAATCATTCTTGGGTCTATAGACTACTATGATGAATTTGGCTTTACTGTGCATGAGCCTGGAAACAACTGATAACTACTGAGCAGGGGAATGACATCAAATTTACATTTTAAATTGGTAAATTTGGCTGTTGTGTTCAGAGGAGACTGTAAAGGAGCAACATAAGAAGCAGGGGGAAGGGGGGCTATTACAATAAATTAGGCAAAGAGGCTAAGGTGCTTGGGCTAGGAGAGTAACAGTGGAGGAGTTTAGATGCTGTATATATTTCAAACATAGAGCCAATATGATTTGCTGAAGGACAGAATGTGTGGCACTACTATATCAAGAATGATGCAGTAAGGCCTCATTGATAGGAAGGAGATGATAGGAAGGAGATGATGATAGCAGTAAAGGAGATCAATAGCACCAATACACCATCAATAGTCCTAGAGTTTCCCATCCAAGTACTAACCAGGCCCGACCCTGATTAGCTTCTGAGATCAGATGAGATCTGGGTGGTATGACTGTAGACCAATAACAATAGTGTTTCAACAATAAAACTTTTCACATTTACTAATGAGAAACAGAACTTTGTTGTTTTCCTTTTTATTTGTTCAATCCTAGAAAACTGTTTTTGCTTATTCTCTTTCTTTGGTAAGCTGTTTATTGCTCATTTAGGCATTAGACACTTAGTAAATACAAATATAATTAATGCAAGTAATTCATGAAGAACCCTTTTGTTTGTTCATTTCTAATACTGGTTAGAGTATATTTCCTGGCTTTTGGATCCAACGATTACTCTGTTTTTGTGCTAGCCCTACACGATTGTGATTACTGTTGCTTTATTAAGCTTTATTATCTGGCTTTGTTTCCCATATCCCTAATTATGTTTATTTTTTACACTCCAATATTCTTTGATAAATCTTCCAGATAAATTTTTGAATTGTCAGGTTTTAAGAAAAATCCTATTGAAATTTGGTTACAATTGCAATAAATTATGAATTATTTTGAAGGAACACTAGTATAATTATACAGATTTTCAGCTCAGAAAAAATAAAAATCTTAATTCCGATAATATTCCTTTATTTCTCTCTGCAGTTTTCTTCAGGTAGGTCCTGTCCTTCAGGTAAGGCCCCCATTCTTCCTGTCCTTCAGTGTCTTAACTTTGTTGCTATGTGAATGGATCTTTGTTGTGTACGTCTCATCCTCTACTTCCTTGTAGTCCAATCTCAGATGGCTCATATAAAACCATAAAATTAGACATGCAGGATGGATGAAGGTGAAACAGAAAGAAGCTCCACAGTAAAGGAAGTACCCAAGGATTCTTAAGTGAAAATACAAAGAAGCCAAAGAGAATAGTGCTATGGAACAAAAGACTAGAATATGGCAATGAAAGGAATTACTGTTTCAAAAGATGTACATCTAGAAGAGGGAAGAAATAGCAGCAAATGTGAAAAAATATTCACCTTTTCAGAAATTCAAGGTTTTGAAAGTGTTTTTGGGTAAGGATAAAAAGAAAAAGAAAACACAAAGTATACTGTCAGGAAAGAATATTACAATAAGTGTGTGAGAGATATTAGGACAATATCCTAATACAAGTGATAACACATGTGATAAAACTGATCTTGGGGCAAAATACCTAAGTGTTGGAAAATTTAAATATACAGATACCTATTAAAACACATCAGATAAATTCCTAAATTGGCATGACACTATTTTATTTCTGTAAAACTTGAGAAATTAAAGAGAAGAAGTATTTATCTAGGTTTGAATATAATTAAAAGAACTGATTGGTAATATAACATGATGGAAAATATAAGAATGTAATTGTGTAATATTAGAATTTGATATAATCAAGGAAAACACTGGCTGGAGTTAGATGTGCCTTTTGACCACTGCTGCCCAATAAAATTTTTCTGTGTTGATGGAAATATTCTATGTCTGTGCTATCTGATATGGCTGATTATAGCCACATGGTACTACTGAGAACTTTAAAAGTGGGTAGTGTAGTCCTGACAAGCGTGGCTCAGTTGGCTGAGCACTATCTGGCAAAGCAAAAGGTCACCAGTTCGATTCCCTATCTGGGCATGTATGAGAGGCAACCAATCGATGTTTCTCTTTCACACTGGTGTTTCCTTTCCTTTTCTTTTTTTTTAAAACGTCTCTTCATTATGTCTTTTTTTTTAAGATTTTATTTATTTATTTTTAGAGAGGGAAGGGAGGGAGAAAGAGAGAGAGAAACATCAATGTGCGGTTGCTGGGGGCTGTGGCCTGCAACCCAGGCATGTGCCCTGACTGGGAATTGAATCTGTGATGCTTTGGTTAGCAGCCCACGCTCAATCCACTGAGCTACGCCAGCCATGTTTCCTTTTCTTTCCCCTTCCTTTCCCCTCTCTAAAAATAAATAAATAAATAAATAAATAAATAAATAAATCTTTAAAAAAGTAGACTTCCAGCAAAGATGGAGGCATAGGTAGACATACTGTGCCTCCTCGCACAACCAAAATAAGGACAACAACAATTTAAAAATAAAATAACAACCAGAACTGACAGAAAATTGAACTGTATGGAAGTCCGACAACCAAGGAGTTAAAATAGACACATTCATCCAGATCCGTAAGTGGGGTGGAGTTGGACAGCTGGGTAGAGAGGGGTCGTGGCACCGGGCGTGCAAGGCAGCAATGGGCAGACCCTGGGTGCGCAGGTGGTGGCTGGCAGACCCCGGGCATGGGGTGGCAACAGGCAGACCCAGTGAGGCGGCGATTACGAAGCGAGGCACTGCACGCAAGGTGGCTGGCTGACCAGGCAGTCCCACATTCTCTCAAAGATAAACCAGGCGAGACTGAGGAGCAAGACAGACCACGCAGCCCAGGGTCTCAGTGCTGGAAAATAAGGCCTCAAAACACTGATTGAAAACACCTGTGGGGGTTGAGGCTCAGGGAGAGACTCCCAGCTTCACAGGAGAGTTCATTGGAAAGACCCACAGGGTCCTACAATGTACACAAGCCTACCCACATGGGAATCAGCACCAAAAAGGCCCACTTTGCTTGGGGAAAGCTGACAGAGGGCAGAGCAAGTGCCATTGTTCTCTCTCAGACCCCACCCCCACATACAGCATCACAACCCAGCCTTGTGGGTTGACCCACTCTGGTGAACACCTAAGGATCTGCCCCTCATATGTATCAGGCGCGACAAGACAAAAAAAAATGGCCTAAATGGAAGAACAGATCAAAACTCCATAGCAAATACAACTAAGCGGCCAAGAGATAGCCAACCTATCAGATACACAGTTCAAAGCAGTGGTGATCAGGATGCTCACAGAACTGGTTGATTTTGGTTGCAAATTACATGAAAAAATGAAGGTTATGCTAAGTGAAATGAAGGAAAATGCACAGGGAACCAATAGGGATGAGAACGAAACTGGGACTCAGATCAATGGAGTGGATCAGAAGGAAGAAAGAAACAACCAAATAGAAAAGAATGAAGAAACAAGAATTCAAAAAAATGAGGAGAGGCTTAGGAACCTTCAGGACATCTTTAAACATTCCAATATCTGAATTATAGGGGTACCAGAAGAAGAAGAGGAAGAGCAACAAGTGGAAAAGTTATTTGAACAAATAATAAAGGAGAACTTCTCCAGGCTGGCAAAGGAAACAGACTTCCAGGAAGTCCAGGAAGCCCAGAGAGTCCCAAAGAAGTTGGACCCAAGGAGGAACACACCAAGGCACATCATAATTATATTACCCAAGATCAAAATGAAGGAGAGAATCCTAGAAACAGCCAGAGATAAGGAGACAGTCACCTACAAAGGAGTTCCCATCAGACTGTCAGCTGATTTCTCAAAAGAGACCTTACAGGCAAGAAGGGGCTAGAAAGAAGTATTCCAAGTCATGAAAGGCAAGAACCTACATTCCAGATTGCTCTATCCAGCAAAGCCATCATTTAGAATAGAAGGACAGATAAAGTGCTTCCCAGA